TATCTTACTTAATCAGTTTTTTTTATTGCACGCGGACGAAGGCAAGTGTATTATAAAACATAATTTAAAAATGTTCAACTTTTTGATTTCCAGGTACCGTCCCCGCCTGGGTTGCCATCATTCTCATAGTTTTCGTATTGTTCTGTACCTTCACGCTATGTTCTTATTTGGGTATATAGCGATATAATGTATTTATATTTTAATTTCGTATATTGTAAAACAAATTATTTTTCCGTGTAAGTAGTTTTGGGGTTAGTTTTAATTGTAAAAGGTAACATGCTCATATAAATGTGTATGTTTGTATAAATAAAATCAATTTAATAAAATTTTATCATACAAAGTGTTGGGATTTATTCTATTTTCATTAATTACCAATTTAATCTGTTGTAATTTAGTTTTATCTGTATTATAATTGTTGATATTTCCAAACATCGAGAATCATTAGGTTAATTGAGTTTGCACAGAATTTGTCCGCCGCCAAACAGACTGTGAACGACTGTTGTAGAATTATTTGATAAAGCTGTATGTATTATAAAAGAAATTAAATATTTATGGCCATGATATTGTCTTTTATTATCACTATGTTACTTTGAGTTTTCGTTGCTGAGACATGTTTAAATAAAGATAGATGTAAAGGGAAGATATTTTTTTTCTGTGCATCCTCTCCTCCGTCGATTAAAGGTTGGCAACGCATATGTGATTGCGTAAGACTATGGGCAACGGTCACTTCGGTATTTCAGCGATTTCAGGTGACCGCTCGCTTGTTTGTCACCTTATTCTAAAAAAAGATAGTTTTTAGCTTTAATTTGTTAAATTTTTTCTAGCCATTCACTTGAAGGAAGATATCTGTGGAAGGTCGATTGAGAAAACATGCAAGCCGCAACATCAAGGTCATTAACAATATTGAACATAGATTAAACCTACTTTCTATTGCAACTAATCGCGACCTTGCCTTGACTCTATATGTGAAAAATAATACAAAGATATATCTTATTAAATTAAATATTTATGTCAAATGTCGATTATAGATCACACTGACTGCTTGTTTTACTTCACAACAAATTAATTCAATTGTTTGTACAATGTAGTCCAATAAGGAACTTATGCCAAATTTTGACATTGACAGTGGCGCGCCTACTAGTTTTAAGGGTTACCAGTTAGCAAACATTCCCTAACTTCTTCCGAAAGTCATCCATGTTACAACTCCAACGCAATTGATATGCAACTTATGAAATGAGTTTTCCTAGTAGTTCTGTACTATTTTAATCGACAACTGCAATTTTATTAGTAAATTAACCTACATGTCATTATGCGTTATCACGCATTTTTATGGAATTTAGAAATTATGGAAATGGCAACATTAAACCTTGTAGCTGCCGCTCCCTTATTGGTCAAAATATGACGTTAAGATTTGTTAGTTCACATATTTTCCGTCTGCCACAAGATTCTTGTGTGACTATACTTGTATGTAAACTTACCATTTATCAAGTTTATTTTAACCACCAACGGCAATGAAAGTTTACTAATATAAAAATTTAGATGGATGAAAGTTTGTTAGAAGGTATCTCCGAAACGGCTCAACAGATTTTGTTGAAATTTTGGCACAGATGAAAAACATTGTCTAGAGAACATAGGCTCTACTTTTTTGATTCCGTGCGAACGGAGTCGCAGGCGACAACTAGTATGTAATAAAATAAAGGAAACAAAGTTGTTTTTAATAACATTTAATCAATTACATCAAAACAAATAACGTACACTTTACTCATCGTGATCGTTCGGCAAGTTGCATTGAAATAGACCGACTAGAGACCTTTGCCGCGGCGCACCGCGACCCAACAGATTCTCACGCCCCATTTAAAGCTTTACTACATTACAATAATAGTCAATATCGCTTACAGAATCATATATCAAGTCGCGAGTAGGCCACACTAATGTTAAATACATAATATTACATAGTTATCATTGGAGAAGGCGTAAACAATGCCACGATATTTACAAAATCAATCAAAACCTCATGTAAATATTTCCAATGAATTTAAAGAATTCGATTTATCGTTAAAATTACTAAATATCTCAATGTAAAATTGGCCTTTACACCTTCTCCATTTATTTCGTTGTCAAATGCATTTACTTTTGTGCCTTTTATATTAAAAAAAATACATATAAATAATAACATGGAAGACTGCTTAATATGTACGGGCGCATTGACGCATCTATATAATTACAATGTTTTTTTTTATAACCAAATATCGTGTTGGGATATTTCGTCAAGAGGGTTTGTGTCATGAAAATAGCTATTAAAATACACTATATTTACTCTTTGATTGTAGATATTTTTTTTAATTTATTCTTTGACAAGTCACAGACTCCGAGTCTGAATAAAAAAAAATAATTCATATCCATAATAATAAGACATCAAAAAAACTGAGCCATTTACTTAAATCGATTCACTGTTTTATCAAAACTTGTATAAATCTATATATAATTAGTTATAAATAATTTAACATCAACGTTTTGTATGTATTAAATATATATTTATTTGGTTATTTTTTTATCATTGATTTAAAAAGTAATATTCAGTTTTGTATGTCTTTGGAGCTATTGCAAGCTCATTGAAAAAGTTAGCACGCGCTTTGAAAATATTAATCACAAAGAATTACTTAATGATATTAATGTTTTTTTACCAAATATATATTGATATTTTCTATTCTTTGTATATTCCATATTTAAAACATGTACGTTCCGTTTTACACTTCTGTATATTTTGCAATATAGTCGTATAATTTGATAAAATCTGCATTTATAATATTATTTCACAAAATAAATATATAAAAGTAAAATATATTTGGATCATTTAAATATTCCTGATGCTTTTATTTTCAATAAACAAAATAGTATACTGAAAGTAAAAGTATACAAAAAAGTTTGCATAGCTCCATAACCTCAAAATTCAACGATCTAGATAAAATCAGCTAATGTATAATTCTGATTATACAAAATGTATATGTAAATATACAAATTCATTATTCATTGTATATTTTCATTAATGTATATAAAATATTGTAAATACACGTATTTTACTCTTGACAATCTGGATAGTTTTATTTCTATGAAACTATATAAAATTCAAAATTGTAATTAATGCACCATTTGTTGTAAAATTGAATACAATATTGTTTTTTTTTTGTATGATGTATATTTAGTATAGCAATAGATATGGTCCCTAGGTTAGGTACGGCTGCACTCGGTCTATGCCACTCTGTCACACTTCGCACTCGGCTCTGCGGGGAGCAGCAACCTCTTTACTATTGTTGGTATAATAATAAAATTTTAATATTGAGCCAAATGTAGATCCATACTCTGCCTACCCTACTGGATGTTAGGCGGGATTATGTTGTTTAATATTAATTTGGATATCATTCATAAACGGAATAGGAGTGACCTTGAAACGGTTGGAAAGTGTAAGATAAAAGAAATAAAAAAGACTTAAGTTCAACAGAAGAAATGAAATTACCAGAAATGAAGTTTGACAAATTGTTCGTGTGACAGGGTAGGGGATGTGAATGTAGGTGGGATATCGTCCCCTGTGCGGTGCGCCCCGCAGAGCGTCGCTTCCCTCGCGGGCTGTGTTCGCGTCAACCCTACATTTATGTAAATGGCACATTAAATATGTAGCATCCGAATTTTGTATATAAAAAAAAGAAATCTTCGTAAGATATTATTAAATCTATGTAATCATAGTTTATATATTGTTTGCTTACAATCATTTCAGTACTGTTGTCCTTATACATAACAACTAAATGATTCTTTTATACTAATAACATTTACTAATCTACAGTAATGTGGTATATATCGTGTTTGCGTTCTGTAACCACTCGGTCCTTCGAGCCGGACATCAAGTTCACTTGTACATCTTATAAGAATTAGGTCAAAGCCAAGCGGTTACAATATTATATAATTTTCTTTATAAATGGTCATATTTAAGTGGCGACAATCTTACTTTCTGTTACTTCATTTTATTAACTATAAGCTGATTTGTTTCAAAGAAAATAATTAAAATATAATAAGCGATAATTAAATCGCATTTATCTTATGTTCAAATAGTAATTAAACAATTATATATAACTAAAAAGCAACAGGACATCAGTAAGACCGACACCACGCAGTTACATAACAATAACATAAATATAAAGCTTATATAATATATGTACATTATATTAAAATTCGAATTCGAAAAAAAAATGATATGAGAATACATCTCAGAGTTGATACAATGAGTTACATCACATTACTCAAAAATACATACGTTTCTGTGTACACAGCGTGTTGCAAAACACCGCAAGTTCAATAAAACACAACAAACAGTCAAACCTGGGTAAACCACACTCTCTTTATTAACATGAGTAAGAAACGGCTTTCTTAACATTAATCTGTTTGAGCTCCCGATTTTGGATGAATGTTATTATAGTAGAAACCACAAAAGTTCAAAGTTATGTACAGCGTGTCCTAAACTTGAGTTTCTCGCTTATGTAGGTCGTCATTTGTGACCGGACTCTCGCTTATAGAGACTTCTAGCTTATCCAGTTTCGATTGTATTTGAATATAAACGTTTTATAAATTTTTTCATAAATTTTTTTTTAGTACCAAAGTGTTTTGCATCACGACATATCATCTCCGTAATACTGACTCACAAGGTGTAATTGACGTATCAAAACGCATTTTGTTACATGTAAAAAGAATAAAAAAACTTATCAGCCATCCATTTGGCAACCATTCATCACATGTCACACATATTTTATATAGAGATTATATTTTCTTCTACGTATACATTTAACAACTAGCAGATAGTAACATCCATTAAAAATTCACATAAAAACTGCTTTTGAGCCCTTAACACATTAGTAAGAAATGCATTGTGCGGCAGCCGGACCCCGCCCCGCCTCCGG